GTTCTCAGTGCCAATAATTGTGGTGCAGAGTAATCTTCACCAAACGAGACTCTGGCAGAAATAGCACCATCATGAAGCAATAGCCCTCTCGTACAGGAGATTATTGTTGACTATTGTAAATTGGTGCTTCAATAAACTGTCATAAATTAATTAATTCAACTGCGTAATAAAGTTATTCCTTTTTCTCTCCTAAGCGAAGCAGATTTATTCTTATCTCTATTTATCAACCCCTAACATTGAACGTAAGATTGTATAAAAAGTGTTCGAGTAATATGGCGCATCTGAACTCGTCTGTCAAAAAATTGGCGCATGGTATGCAAAAGGTTGGCCACCCCTGCTCTAGTCTATTTCTACATAAACAGGTTAGGCTAATGAGATCTGACTCTGTCACACCCATATGTCGCATCCCATCCCTCTTTCATCCTGATGTCAGATCTAAAATTCCCTCATAATTGGCAGCCTCACAGTACCAAAAATTATTTAATATTATTTCATTAAACACTATCATACATTTAATGGAGGCTGAAATTTATTACAAGCTTTTGATAATATATTCTTAATTTAATCAATTAGAATAATTTCATTCTTATATTAATTTTTAAAATTAACTTTAATATAATAAAAAATTACCTCAACATCTCTACTTTTAGCAATTTCTGTAAAATGTTCTTGACTTTCGAGAGTTTTGTCCTCTTTATCGTCCGTCATACAAAATACTCGAAGTTGAGCTTCGAGTGTGTCATACCGCTTTGCAAATATGACAAATTTTCCCATAAAAGGCACATGTATAACTTCTTGATAAAGTTCAGTTGCAAATTTTGTGGCTTCATTTACTTGTCGACAATCCATAAGCCAAAATCTGGAAAAAAAATTTAATTTGTTAATTAGTAATCCAACAAAACATGGTAGGTGCCGCTTATTGTAATCTTGGACATCATTATCAACCATCTAATATTATCAGAAAAAACATGTCCCAAAACATGTAAATTAAATAACATTACAAAATTTATGTGAATCTCTGATTACAATAAACAAATATTATCATTATGTTACTAATGACATCTTTGAATTTTGCTTAGGTGATTAATAACAGCCAACTGACAAAACAGAAAATAACAGTTTTAAGCCATGTTCCAATAGAAATGTTAATACAACAGTTGCAATCAATACAGTATTATAGTTTAAATTTTGATTTCTGGTACTCGTTACTTTGTTTACAGCAAAGGCAGATTTAACGGCAACGGGGCCTGCCCGGGGCACCGAGCAGGCGCACCGGGCATGCACCCTGGACCCTGACTTCTGAAGGGCCCCGCAAAACTCCAACTTGATTTTGTAATGACACCAAGTTTGGTTTCATATGTGCAATTTTAATTATGTACAAGTTACGATTGGGTGTAAAATTTGAATATAATATATGTTATATTATAATCAAATTTTATTGGAAATAAAACCTTAACAGTACATAATATATTACATAATATATACAACACACCCCACCAAGAGCATCTCAGGTGGCTAGAGGCTGTGGCTATCTACAACGCCGGCTGGCTAACCACGTGCGTTAACTAGAAGAGCTGACTCTGTCTCTGGCCTGGCTATCATTGTTGGATGCCAACCTGCCACTTCCTCCCCCCACCATGCGACCATGCATATCAGAAAAGATCCACCCCATTGAAATTGACACCCAATCCCAACAAATAGAATACACTATGTCCAGGGAATTCCAGTTGACCTGAAGAAGAGCAAAGAGATCGCTCAAAAACATTTGTCAACAGTGATATATAGTATATACGCGTTACGCACCGGTTACAGGTTCCGGATAGTATAGTGTACATTTCACCCTGGTGCTGAGAGTGGAATAGTTTCTGTATTTAAGTACATAACCATATTTTTCAATAAATAAAAATATTAACATGTATTTTTATTTTCCTTGTCTCTTTTTTTAAGGGGCCCAATATTTTCTTCTGTGCCCAGGGCCTCAACCAACCTTAATCCACTTCTTGTTTACAGACTAGCTGTTCATCATTGTAAAAGACTGCTGTCTTTATTACTGTCAAAGTACAAGCTATACTGTATCTCTTAGCATTGAGGTCCTGCAAGTGTCTAGATAGTCACCCTAACACTCTTCTCCTAATAATTTTTTTAAAAGAATATAAAAATTTATTAAATTGTTTACAGCCTGTCAAATTTAAGAAAAACTTTGAACTTTTCTTTCAATAACCATCAGGGAGATACTGTATATACACACACTGATTTAAAGTAATGAGGGTCATAAAATCAATAAACATTCCGGTTGGGATCAAATTTGGTGTTAAATTAATTGTTGATGTCGATCTTTCTCATGACCCAGGAAGGTCTTGTTTTCTGATTCTGTTTCTAGGTGAATTAGACATAGACGGACCCAACCTAATTAAACTCGTGTCCCAAGGGGCTTGCTTGCTCTTGTTTAGTTTCTGAGTTTCACGTTGGTTACTTTCACCATGTTATGTTATCACTCAATTAGTGGGATTGGATTAGACTACACTGATAACAAAGTGATTACAATAAGTAACACCTATAGTATTAAGAAAAAATTTGGATAACTTAATTTTAAAAAATATTGAATACATTTTAAAACTAAAAATAATACATCACTTTAAAAATTTAAAGATAAAAGTTAATATCATACAAATGCTATTATAATTAATGTTATAATAATTAAATTTTAAAATTATTTTAGCAAAAAAATTAACTCGTAGATCTGTCAATGATATTGCACCAAAATTATTTAAATAAATCAAAAAATTCATAAATACTTTCACTTATATTATTGAAGATATCTTCAGATTCAAATTCAAAAATAGAATAATTTTCAGAATTTAAATTTTAAATGAAGTCAGTTGTTTATATATTGATTTACTGACAATGTCATTTATCCGAATCAATTGGGGATTGGGGTTGTTCGGATAACTTATTTTTTGGATAACTGATTATGTACAAAAAAATATATTAACCTATCCCGTGCTGAAATTTTTCTCCGTTGTGTGTCGTTTCGCGTTCAATTTTCGTTGATGTTAAGTACATGGCCACCGGTGTCAACTGAGTATAACCCATAAAACCCAACATAATAATAAAGCTATTATAATATCTCTTTTGTGATCTATTATTATTTTCCTCAATGATCTTTTACTTGCTCCCGTGTATTTTAAAATCCAAATTTTTCATCAGAATTGTATACACGCTTGCCTTGTTTGTATGTTTTACACGGGTCTCTTTCATTCATGCAAATCGTATGCAGTATAAGTAGGAATATGGCAGATAACTTATAAGAAAAGCAACTTATAAACTTTAAGCATTCTGCAAAAATTAATAAAAACTTAATAATTTTAAACTTTTGACTAATAATGAATAAAGAAATGTCCTTTGAATACAGGGAATAAAAATAGGAGTAATACAAGATCAAAAATGAAATAAATCTTTTCGAGAAAGAATCAGCATTGCATTATTTTTGCAATCTACAAAAATGCATATATGGTAACAGAATTCTTTCAGTTACCATATATGCACAGACAGTAATTTTTAAAAAAAGAAAAGCACTATACTTACAGCTGAGCCATTAATAAAGTAAAAATTAGAAAATTATCCTGAATAATATTCTTGAAGTTTAATATCTGAAATTGCATGTTAGAATCATCATCTCATAAAAAGTAAGATGATAATTCTAATTTATGTTGTTTTGTTGGTATTATTCCATCATACCAAAAACTTTATATTTTTAAACAAAAAACTACAATTTCATATGTATTTAAAATGTGAGGCCCCAGAATTACTTCAAACAAAAAAAAAAGAGTGTAGAACAAAATGTAATTGTAAAGAATTATTTAATATAGAGAAATAACAGTTATTGTGAGGTGCTGGGTTTACTGACGTTGAGACACTGATGCTGGACCTTGACATCTTCTCTCTTAGTCAGAGAAAGGGTGGTGTTGGATAAACTATCCCGGGCAGACCTTTCACACGACTCAAACTGGTCTCGAATTCTACCTGGAGACAGCCGAGAGACCAATAGGGGAGCAAGGAAGGGGATGCCCTGCTAATGAGGAGAAGATATGGAGACAAAGGTATAAAACTTTTGTGTGATGAAGGACACAATGTTCATTCCATTAGTCACCCCTTGTGGACGATCTGTTCAATCCACCTACCAGTTTGATCTACCAGCGACCTGCCTATGCAATCTTCCCATTTGAGCCAAGTGTTCCTCCTCTGTTGTCACCAGGAGGTCTGAATTTCTGCCATCCTCTCTGCAAGTCATATACTCCAAACCCTAACTTGCCACTGCTCCATCGAGGAGAGAAAAACTTCAAGGATATGGAACTCTGAAATCTTTGGACTGTCACATAAATTTAAGCATATATTGATAAAATAAATGGTTTTTTGTAAACACTTGTCTTTTCTGCCTCCGAAAACCACCACCCACATACACAAGGGCCCTAACCATCATGACTAAAGGGAGTAAAATTCCCCCCTCAAATCAACATACAAAAATAGTAGAGATAAAAATCACTTCTTAAATTTACATTGCGATAACAATATTAAATTCATATGTTAATACTGTTAAACTCAGCTAGCAGTATTGGTTATATTAAGGAATTTATATTTTCAATATTTTTGTGAATCAACTCTTATAATGTACAAAGGTTCAGAGAAAATCATAAAATTTTCTTATTAATTTAAAACTTCATAGTAACTTCATAGCATTAAATTAACTAACTTTATAAATCATCCTTACACAATTTATAATTAGCACTTATGTCCAGTTGTTTTTTTACACACTGATGAAACATGTTGGAAAAATTACTGATTAAAACAAAAACTATTTCATTATTACATTCTTATATTGTAAGACATCAATTAATGCTACCATGTTCAATGTTATCTGATTATAGCATGCTTTTATTAATAGATGGCAAAATAGCATTTTTTTCAGAATGGATAACTGTGGTATTCCACAAAATTCCTGAGCTCTTTGACTTCAAGTGATGATGCAATAATTCAGAGATTGTCACGGTCCTCTAGTAACATTCTTAGTAATGGTGGTCTTCACAAACATGCAAAATAAAGCACTTGGACATAATTTGCTGTTTACAATTCAAAATACAATATACAAAGAAAACAGCCATGCAAGTTATGAAATAATTTTTAGACTTATATTATGAAAATGAAGTTAAATAAGAAATTATGAAAATGATATTCTGCTATCGAGAGTTCCTTTGAGAATGAAAGAAGAAATGACAACTGACTCTTGGTACATCACCAAGATGCTCAAAAGATGCACACAGCACAGTCCTATGTTTAAGGTGTAAAATCATAGACATGTGTACAATTTATATAATATGGTTGTATACTGTACTTATAAATAAATTTATAAGTACACAAACACAAATAAAACAATATTTATGTAATGTTTGTGTTTTAACCTATATCTATTCACCTTACATTAAAATGCACTGTTTAGTATGTTTAATGAAACAGAGGTAAATTTTACAAATGTGTCCTAAGCATTACTCCCAGTCTTACTGTATTTCATTCATTAACTTATTAATTACAAACTAAATTAAAAGATATGAAGAAAATAACCTGGCTGATACAGTTGTGGTGAAAGATATACATTCATTGACTAAAGTTAATGGTGTCGAACCTGTAACATCTTCCCATTGAGCCTTTGAAGATCCACCTGTAAAAATTAATAAATATAAAGTTTTATAGTAATTCACCTAAATATTTATAAATTTTTGTTACTTAAGGTATTAATTAAAATAAGTACAATATTTTTATTAAGATATTATATGTATAAAAACTATATTTAACAGACAAAATGTAGAGTTATTAACTTTTAACTTCTTTGTTTCATATTCAAGAATTAAATTCTTGGATATGAAACAAATAGAAAATTTGTTTTATTCTCGAAAAAGAATTTATCGGCATCATTTATTTTTCACTCGATCAAATTTTGATAATCAACAATAATAAATGAAATTAAACTCAAATAGCAATAAGTGCTATGTAAGTCATTACCAAAGTTAGGAAACCATGGTGAAAATAATAATTTCTTTATTCAAAGTACAGAAACCCAAAATGATTATATTCAATCCCATAGCCAGGAATAAATTTTTGTGAGTTACAGGGACGAGACAAAAAAATTCCGACCGATATTTTTGTTTTCTGGCCAGCACTAGTCCCATTATCAACAGTCCAAGTGTAGCCTAAGTTTACATGACAAAAACAAAAGCATATATTATATATACTGCATGCAGGTAATGCTGACTAAGCCAAGGGGAATCAGCCAATTTGTAGTCCCCATAGCTAACGTCCCAATTATGCTGAAGACACAAAATCAGAAATAGGTATCGGCACACAGAAAATCAGAATCTTTCATCAAACTGGATAATTGGTTAAATAATAGGTGTTATGGAGGTGTTAAAACAATATTAATGGATATGCCAGAGCTTTGTGAAATCAGGGAAATAATGGTAATAAGTTATTGATTTTTGGTACACTCTGTCCTTTTTTAAAATATTGATAATTCTTCTACAACAAATTAATAACAACATATAGAAATTAAGTAAAATAAGATTTTTATTAAATAACAACTATTATTATTTAACTTGGAAAATTATGGTTTTGCTATGTGTATATTAAGAATATTAACATTTCCATTTATAATAAAATGTACAATTTTGCTTTCATTAAACTGTAGTCTACTTTTTGATTTTATTCAATAAAATTGAACTTTAATAAAGAAGACAAGGTTATTTATCTTAAGTATGGATCTCAAAAGAACATAAAGTGTTTTGAATTGCATAGGTGAATAAATTAGAAATTAAAAATCTTTCATCTGAAAACTTTTAAGAAAAATATATTTTCTTCATTAAAGCACAATTCTTCTTATAAAAATATAAACAGAAATTATTTACTATACTCTCTTCAACCTTAAATAACCAGTAAAATATTTTAATACTACTACAAATGTTTTCGACCAGAAATTATTTATTCTTCATTTAGTTTCTTATTTGGATTTGTATTAAATTACACATTATTTAATACTGCTTGCATAAAATATTTACAGCATATACAAATATATTCATAACTAAAAAACATTAAATGCTTTTAATTACATTTTTCTATCATTTCATAAAAATAACACACTGATATTATTAAGTATTTTCTGAATGTTTTGGTTTATAACATCATTCCCAAAATGTTACTATAAATTACTACAAAATGTTACTATATTATTTTTGTATTTAGCTTTTGAATTCAATAATTACTTTTCTGTAGGTCCTAATGATTGATATCTATTTTAATGTTAAAATGTAAAATTAAACACTGAATTGTAATAAATGAAAATATAACTATTGAAATTATAATATTAAAAACAAAATTAATAGAATAAGATGTTTATTTTAAGTTATAAAAATCTTGAGCCAAGTTCAAAATCACATAAGGAAATAAATTTGAATATGACTAGTAAAAATCCTATCAGTTTGATTGCCTTATAAGGAGAATGCATAGAATACATCCCTTTCTTCTATCCCTGTTACTTTTAAAAAAGAAAAATAGAATGGCACCAACAAAAACATTATTTTTAAGAAATTTTAAAATGCAGACGGTCTCCAACTTTCAGACATAATGGTTTCCAAAAAATGCATACAAAAGTCAAACATTGGGGTTCAGTTCCAAAAACTTAAAAAGAAAAATTATAAAAATCTCTAATGAATGTAAGAAGGTTTTAATTTTTTTATAGTGATTATATGAAAATGTATAGAACACTAATTTATTGTCCTAACATTTTAAATAAACAATAGTAATTTATCTTCACAAAATGATTTTGTTGTTATTAAAATAAAAACTAGAAAAAGTGCCACTGCATGTATAATAGATGAAATTTACACTTTCCATACATTTTAATGTACTAAAAGCAATTTAGAGTTATCAGTTTAGTTCAAAAGTCGAGGACTGCCCTTAAAAAGCTTTTATTTTTCTTAGATTTCTTTAAATTCTTATTAAAACAACACCAGTTATAATAATAAAGAATTCAATGACAAAAAAACTAAACAGTGCTATTTTCTTACATAAATTTTAAATCTTTAGTGTAATGGGTAAAGATTAAATGTCACAGGTAAAGTGTTAAAGTGTAAATGACAAGCACAGTAATAGCGAATACAAACATTAATTGGATACATAAAAGAAAGAATGACTACAATACTAAGACAGGCAGACATACACAGTAAAATATAACTTATAATAGATATTATTTTTAATAATCAACTGAAAAATCCTAGTTTGTTTACACAATACATAAAATTTAAGTATATCAGTAATGTAATCATTAATCTTGATAATATAGAAAAACAACATAATTAGTAACAATCCACGAAAAACCTTTTTTTACGAGTGTTATGCCACTATTAAATTCCACAAGTACTTTCGACCTCCACCGAGGTCTGCTTCAGGTGGTGACTGGCCATGTTTCAACCCGACCGTCGTGACGATGTTGCCAACGATGTAAATAAATAAATGTGCGCGTCGGGTTTCACCCCTCCAACTGACACTGTTCGAATTCCTTGAATAAGTACTTCCACGCCTGTGCAAGCGTTTCCCCATCCTTGTAGTTGATTTATGGATACAAATTCACTGAGTTCAGCGTTAATAAAGTTTCTTTAGTATTAACACAAGCACTTTCGACGAATGTATAATCGTCGTCTTCAGGTGAAAAGAATAAAATTTTAACAAGACAAACGTGCAGGATATTCCAAAGGAACAAAATATTTAAAATTCAAACAGGCGTCCGGAAATTCCAACCCTCGATCTACCCGGGGTGTGGATTGCCTTATATCGGCGCCTAAAAAGCGAAACGCGCCTAACATCGTATCGCCAACGCGGTAGCATTTCCACGCATGCGCCGCTAACATCGTAAAATATAAAAATTCGAACATATCAAAAAATTATTTGCACGTTCTTAACGAAATTTCCGGACACCTGTTTGAATTTTAAATATTTTGTTCCTTTGGAATATCCTGCACGTTTGTCTTGTTAAAATTTTATTCTTTTCACCTGAAGACGACGATTATACATTCGTCGAAAGTGCTTGTGTTAATACTAAAGAAACTTTATTAACGCTGAACTCAGTGAATTTGTATCCATAAGTCATACAAACATTGGCGTGAGTTTTTAAATTTATTTTTACTTGTAGTTGATGCAGTTGCCCCCCCCTGATAGCTTTATGAATCTCCCAGGCCTCCAGGTGGCGGATGTGATCCGCACGGAACGCTTGCCTGATAAGTCTGGTGTTGCGGAAGTCCGCCCTTATTTCAGGGTCGGTGACGTAGGTCGATAAGGCGGTGGTGTGTCTTTTATGATTAATATCAGCCTGGTGTTCACGTATTCGTTTCTGTGTTGACCGGATGGTGGAGCCAATATAAACTAAGTCCCTGATGGGAACGGTGGTTGGAACTAGTGGTTGGAAGTCGTTTATCTTAATATAATTAGTTTTTTACTAATATATAATTATCAAATATACTGGATGATCAGATTAATAATAAGAGTCACTAGCAATTTTAACCTTTTTTCAAACAATAAAATGTGCTAATGACAATGTTTTCTTAAAATATTAATTTAAGCAGGAAGGCTACAAGGCCAAGAAGAAAAAGAAGTATTGGCTATCTGCACAAGGAGTCCAAAATTTCAATTTGTATCGGACCAGATCCTCTGGAATGTTTCACGATAGTCTGACCGTCCTTTGAGTCACATCAAGAACTTAGCTAAACTTTTAAGGAGTTTTACTTCTCAACTAAACTCATTACAGGAATTACAGGAACGAAAGTCTTCTTAATGTCCATAAGTTAGAGTAAATAAAAAAAAATTTCAACAGATTCAAATATCATTCGTCAAACTGCAAAGTAAATTCTCATTCATATCAGATGTTGTGTAACAATTTTTGGCAACAGAACCAAGTCACATATTTTATTTTATTTAGAAAATTGCTTCTATAAAAATCAATAATATATGTACAGTATATACATACATGTATAGGAACTATTTTAAACAAAACTTCATTTTAATATCACAATAAATTTGCATTGACAAATTATGATTTGATTTAACCTGATTGTGTCTTTGATTATCACCTTTTTCCTCAAGTTTAATTAAATGTTACATTTAATCCATTTGTATGATCAATAGAACTTTTCAAATTTTATAAGATGTGATAATATTTATTGAAATTTTTCTGTTGTTTAAATATAAAATTAAATAATAAATAGATAAACAAATAACTTTGTTTCATCCTTGGAAGAAGAAATTATTTTCATCATAACAAACTACAGAAACTGGAGAGAATGTCAGAAAATAAATTCATGCCTTAAAACTCAATTTCTAAAAAGTTAAAAATAAATTCACACCTTAGAACTTAACATACAGAAAGCTCAAAATAGAGTATGTTACTTCACCGAATATTCTAATTTCTTGTTTGTGTAAATATTGATACATTCTGAGGACAATTCTTAAAGATCAAAAATGTTATTATTTTTTTTTTTTTAAAGATTGCTCATTTGATTAAAAAAGAATTCTACATATAATTTTGTCTGTCAAAATAGGTCAACATAAGCCATTCTTTCAACAACCAATCTGTGGTGAGAAAAACCACAGAACAGATCAAGTTGATTCCAAATGTACTTTTCAATAGATATGAATTATGTGGATTATCATCGCAGAATGAATAAGTCGGTTAAGTGTTTTCTGTTTAAAAATACTGACGGCTAATTTCACAAGATACTTCTTAGCCAAAGAAAATTCACAATTATATATTGGTTGTTTAGGAGAAATCATATTGGTAAAAATTTTCAAATAATCTAAATCTGATGTTAACTACCATATTTAAAATCGTCATTTAAAAGTATTGTCCTTGCATGCTTATATTTTGTTGTAATTATTAATTAGATAATTTAAAACCTTTTCGTCTTCAGTAGGAAAATATATTTGTGGCAGAAAAAAACTAGTTTCAAACCATCTCCATTTCATTTATTTTGTAATGGACCATATTGAAATAGTTGAAATCATATGGTAAAAATTTACCTCAAATCTTATTATGATGTTATTTTGTATTATACTTAAAGTATTATGTTGTCACCATTCTTTGATTTATCATAGAGATATCTAGAAAGTAGCATTTTCTGATATCTAATTCACAACTGTTATATCTGCATCTTGCTTATACAAAGTGACACACTTAAAATAAAAATCCAATAGCTTTTTACAAAATTGATGCAGAGAAACAAAAATGATTTGTACAAGAAACATAATATACATACATGCAAAACAAATTTAGTATTTCTGACAATTACCAGAAGTACCACTTTCACTGAATATAGAATATATAAAAACATAATTATGTATGCAATAAATATCACAGAAAATAACTTAAAAACATCATGCTTAAATATGTTGGAAACCACATTTCTATACAGCAATGCAGCTTTACATCATTTGCTTTCTTTTATGCAAGTTGACACAATGGCAATTGCAACCAATTTGATAACTTGCTATCGCATTTGGTTTTAATTTTACCTAATCTATACAGTCTTTTATATATATATAAATGGACGTGTATGTCCCTATATTTCACTTTTCCGCCAAAACTACACATTGCACATCGAATGGTGTTTGTATGTGGTAGTAGCCCCAAGTCTCCATTCGTGCATTATGGGGGTTGCGTCTCGATAGCTGTAAGGGTGCGGGAGATATGGGGCTGAAAGTGGTTGAAAGTGGTTTTCTATTTCAAATGTTATATTCGAATTTGTTCGAATTTAATTCGAACAATGTTTGAATTTGTTCAAATTTAATTCGAACATAAAATTTGAATATTGGTTCGATTATAGAACGATTGTAAACATTCCAGAAACGTTGAAAATAGTTTGTTTGACTGAACGTAAAAATTCTCTAATTAGTCTGGAAACGGGGGACTTAATTCTTGCATTTTGTGAAAACAGATAAGATTGGCTATAATGTAATTATCTTAATCTTCACTATCGTTACTTTTTGTCCAGCGAAGCGGGTCCTTGCAGTTAGATTACTTAGAAAAACAGTCTGTTATATATAAAAAAAACTATATTACATACAAATAAAAACCCAGCAAAATGGGTCCTTGCAGCTAGTATATATATAAAAGACTGTATAGATTAGGTAAAATTAAAACCAAATGTGATAGCAATTTATCAAATTATATATATATATATATATATTCTTGAGTTTTCTTTTTAGGGCATTAAATTAGTAATTAATAAATACTTTTCATCATATTTTCAAAAATTGTATTGCAGTTAACAAGGACTTTATACAAAACATCAACACATTTCCATTTTATTATTATAAAATTTTCTTCTATTTACAAAAATCATTGTATCTAGAATTACAGTTTTGAAATATATATATTATCACTTTTTAGAAGTCTTTGTAAACTGCTTAATGAAACTTTAGATTAATTTTAGATTCCTTATATTTCTCTATGTTTTTCAAACTTTACTTACTGCTAGACGATCTTATACCTGCCATATTTCTAACCGAAGCAAGGCACACACACATCCAAACATTAGACGTAGAGCACTAAGAAAACAGATAGAGGGAAGAGGAAGAAAAGAAAAGCAGACAAAAAAATGACAAACCTGACTTGCTACTACCTGTTATGCTGCATAATAACCTCAAAGTAGGAGCATCACCACTATATTGATTGATCATTCCTTTTGTAGCAGCCTGAGGTACCGGTATTGTCAGAGTGATCGGTTTGTGAAATTTACGTCGCCTAGGTTCAACGGTGACTATGGGACTGACGGCGACAGAGTTTCCTAATAATTTGGTCACTAGATCCGGTTGAATAGGTTGAGCCTAAATTGATTAAACATTACAAAGGAAAAAAATGATATTACTTTTCATTATAAGAAATAAAAAAATTTAAATAATATCCTTAAAGCTAACTATTAGAATATACATAATAAATTTCTCTTATCTAAGTATAAAATTTAAAAGTTTGTTTAATGTATTGTGAAAATATGTTGAAAATTCTAAAACTTTACATTTACAACTAGTCTTTATACATTTTTCATTATTTTGTTATTGTAATTAGGACCAAAAGGAGTATTTAAAAAACAATTTGGTATTGTTATAAAATGTTTCTTTAAAAATTAAAGAAACAAAACTAAAATTTTAAATTTTTCTGAAAGTAACAAAAATATGCTTTAGCATTAATATCTGTACACTTATTAATTCAGCTATCATCTTTTGGATAGTTTCTTCTTTTAATCAATGATTCAATTCATCTCAGATTTTTGACAGAAGTTCAATCTATGAGGCAATCTTTCTTTTAGATCCTTCTATCTGTATTCATTGTTACATGAACAATATGACAGAGCATTGACCTGTGGATGGATCATCCTAAAGTGTTGTCTCAATATATATATATGTGTGTGTGTAGCACATGAATGTCCATAATAATTAATAATTCAAAGCAAATGTGAAAAAAAATGGTAACAAATCAGCATACTATCTCTATCAAGTTTCACTATAGAAATGAGAATGCTTTATTCTGCCAGATAAAGCAGCATTCTCTGGACATTTAATATATCTAGACAACAATACTCAGACTGGTAGAATAAAATTTATGACTCATTATACTTTAGGATAAATTTTTCATTATTTTATGGATCAGAAATAATGCCTATATAATTTTAGTTGGTAGTTAGCATTGGTCAAGAATAGTTGCATATTGATAGTATTGATAATACAACATACCAATGCAAGTCAATGTCTTATACTATTGATAACTTTAGCAATCTGAACATTATACTTTCAGAATAGATGATTTTTTTCTAAGAGCTTTTGTATTATGATTCATCAGCTTCACTTTTTTTTCTGGAGTGTTTAAAATTATTTTTATCATAAAAAGTGATAAGAAAGTATTATATAATTGTAATAACTATTATACTTCCAAATGGTTATCTTTTATATTCAAAATTACATACATTTTTTGGCACAAATTTTAATTCTCTCCTTGTAATATGTTGTAAAATGAGTCTACAATTTTCAAAATGAAAAAATAAAAAATGTTTACTTTTGATTCCATCAATGTTTTCATTTAGATTAATGATGATGTGGTTTTATCTAGACATAAATTACGGGATCCCAACTTACAAAAGTTACCACATATTTATTTATTTAATGATAAAAAAATTAGAAGACAAAAAGTAAACAGAAAAATAAATTAAGAAAATAGTTGTTTAATTAATGAAATTGTAATTGCCAATAGAAAAAAAGAGATGTAGTTCACATAAGTGAATTAATTGCTACAAGTTTCTGTTGGAGGCAAGTGATAGAACTTTTTCTGTGAATGAAGACAGGATGTGAGCAAAATAAAAATTGATACTGGAGTCTATGAGTCATTCGACTGGAGAATATAGGAATTTCATTATTATTGCATTTGTTAGTTTGTTCTCTTAAATATTGCTTGGCTCTCACTGTAACAAATATTTCATTTCATAAACAGGAAAAAGATTTTAAGCTCACTTTATTAAACTTTTGTAGATCAAATACTCATAAATAGAAGTATGCCACTTGAGATATAGAAAAAATGCTACGTTATAGTAGTGACTTCACTTGAAATCATCATTCAATATTGCGTGTTTTAATTGTTTCATAATTAACTTCATATATAAAATGGCATTAAGATTCAGTAATAGTAATAATGGATGTAAAATTAGGGATGCCATTAGGCTGCAATTTGAAAAATTGTAGACCTGTGAATTCCCACTGTAGTCTGTCTGTCCAAATTTCTCAAACGCATAATGTGTATTTTTCAACAGTCAAAGCTCCAATATACAATAAACAGCTATACTGTGTAATGACAATTGAACTTTTATTAATTCTCATAAAAATAATTCTGTGATGTCTTAAATGAAAAGCTTAAATGGGATTAATTGGGGTTTTTCAAAAACTAAATTCATTTAAATAGAAAAACAATTCTGAATTTTTGGAGTAATGAATATAAAGTGTAAATTAATTTATTATAGTGAAATTTAATTTTGAAAAATGGGAAAAGAATGGTTGTAAAGAAAAATATAATGATAACTAGAAACTGAACAAGACTACATATTAAGGTATGTAAGGAAATTCATAAAAATAGATAAAAGAATATAAACTATTATAATTCTTTTCATTTACAGCAAAGAATGATGTAAACTAAAATCTAATCAATATATGGTGTGGTAGCTGATGAATACGTAGATTTAGTATATGTCTCTTTAATGCCGAATTAGTAAAATCGGTAGACTTTCTCTCAGCTATAAGGTTAGGTACTCCTGTATTGCAAATCACAAATGCATTTCGGGCCTATATGAGCCCATCTTCAGTGTAAATGCTACACATATAAAGCATAAAAAATAAAAAATTAATTAATTTACAATTTTTCATGCGAAGATGATTTTTACAGACAATAAATAAATCCTTTTTCACACCTCAGAAGACAGAGTAACGCTTTTCTAATTATATGACTCTCACAATGATATTTTATATAATACAAAAAAAAACATGAATGTGTATTGAATGACATTACAGGTACAATTAAAAGCCTTAAAACAGTAAATATACATTATTACCTTATATATTATTACAACAACAATAATGTGGTATCTTCTTACTTATAACTATACCTGTAAGGTATTTAAAACCATAATGTGTACTTTAAGACATTATCAGAATACCTGCAATTAAAATGACAGGTTTACAAAAACATAGAACAATGATTTAACTATTTTAAAACAGGCTCATACATACATCATGTTTCCATTATAGTTTATCATATTTATTAACGTTATGGTTGTAACACATGATTTTTCTGACTTATGATGTTAGGTATTTTTTTAAAAAACCTCTGTCATTTTTTTACAACCACTGTAATCACAATAACAGATTTTACAAGTTACCATTAAATGATTTAACTAATTTTTAAAAAACAATACATACATACATAATGACCTTTTTCTTTATTTTTTTACATTTATCCACAGTCTTACAATTCTCACCTTTATACAACACTCTTATTACAATTTACTTTTTAAGTCATGCCCTCTATTACATTATGCCATTGTTCATCAATTTGCATGCCATTTCGATAAATTCATTAAATTATTTTTACTATTTTTTATTATTTCAATATGTTGTTTAAATTTGCGTTTATATATTTCTTTTTCATAATGTAATATTTTTATGTTATTTTTGTCAATCCTGCAATTACTATTATTTGTGTGATCAAACCAAGGGGAATTGTTGTATTTTAATTTTATAGAGGCTTCATGTTCTTTAATTCTCAATTCTAATTGCCTGCCTGTTTCACCTAATGCCATTCAATACATATTCATGTGTTTTTTTGGATTATATAAAATATCATTGTAAGAGTCATATAATTAGAAAAATCGTTACTCTGTCTTCTGAGGTATGAAAAGGGATTTATTTATTGTCTGTAAAAATCATCTTTGCATGAAAAATTGTAAATTAATTAATTTTTTATTTTTTATGCTTTATATGTGTAGCATTTACACTGAAGATGGGCTCATATAGGCCCGAAATGCATTTGTGATTTGCAATACAGGAGTACCTAACCTTATAGCTGAGAGAAAGTCTACCAATTTTACTAATTCNAATCATAGGTGGGCCATCCCTTGGTGGAATGTGAATCTCTCGGCAATGAGAAGGGAGAATAATTGGTTGCACAGAAAGTTCCAACGTTCCCTGTGCAGTAATCATAGGAGGAGTGTCATATACACGTTAACTGGAGTATCAGAGGAGCTACAAGCAAAAAATAAAAAAAGCGAAATTGGAGTCGTGGCAGAACTTCTGCTCTGGGGCAGGAGGTGATCCCTGGGGCTTTGTCTATAAGCTTAGTACAAACAAGCTCAAGTGCCACAGGCTTCTCGGTAGCAATGATCCAGTTGCTGATGCTGCAGATGAGTTTTCAGGCAACAGTCAAAAGGCTCTCTGATCATTTTTGTCCTGCTGATGCTCCTAATGATGGCTCTCTGGATCAGATCAGTATAAGATCATTCAGTCATGAAGAGTACCTTATGGAAAGAGAAAGGAAGATCATTCTCTGTGAGATTAATGACATCATTAAAAGTCTTCCAAAGAAAAAAGTGGTTGGGCCTGATCGCATTGATGCAGTTACTGATCCAGAAAACTTTGGACATCAGACCAGATCTTCTGGATATTTTCAATGCATGCGCTAACACTTTGGGATCTTCCCTTACTCTTGGAAGCATGCTCAGCTTGTCTTCATTCCCAAGAAACATGATGAATCTCTCACTGTCCACAACATGAGGAACATCTCTCTTCTTTCCATCTTTGGAAAGGTCCTGGACAAGTTGTATGGTATGATCTCTTGGATCTGAGAATCAAATGGCCTCTTTCATAATGCACAATATGGCTTCAGGAGAAAAGGAGGCTCTATGGATGCACTACTGAATTTAACCAACTGCATAAAGAATCTACTCATGGAGCACAAGTATGTCTTTGGCCTCAGTATGGACCTGCAAAATGCCTTTAACTCTGCCTGGTGAACTCAGGTCCTACATAGGCTCTCTGTGCATGGTTGCCCAGCTAACCCTATTCTATTTGGTGAAGGATTATTTTAGCAATAAAGAAGCCTCTATCAACATCGGCGAAAAATCCTTCTCTCATGTTCTTCGGAGAGGCGGCCCTCAGGGCTTGGTCTGTGGACTGCTCTTCTGGGACATACTCTTCAACAGTCTACTCCACCTGGACTTTGGATATCAATGCCATATCTTTGCATATGCAGATGATGCTTTTCTTGTCTTCCCTGCAAATGCACAGAGGGCAAT